CCCTCAACACCCCTCCCTCATCAGCCCTCTAATGGATTTCATGGAACAAAACAAGCCACAGACAGATTAAGGAGCAGAGATGACATCTTTGGACAAACACTTTCAGGAGAAGAAAGATAAGAAAGATGGGTTTGATGCAAAACTGTCACACTTTCACTATTTTCTGCTACAAAGGAGAATCAGGGATGAACCACCACCTACTGTGAAGAAGATAGAGGTCAACCTGCACCAGAGAGAGCGCCATTTCCATTTCAGTAGTTGCAATAAACAAAAGGCAAGACAAAAGTGTGTACCAAAACCATTTAATAATTCATTTTGTATGTGCTTTGTTTTAAATCTTCTGTTCCTTGCCAATTTAGCTGATATCCAAAAGAGCTGGTGAGGAATTATAGTATCAGGCTAGTTAACCATGCTGGGTTAAGTGCCTGTTTTATTTACACCCCTGCATCCTAATTTAAATTTTTAACAGGGTTGCAGAGATTTAATGAGGCAGCTGTTAATCCATACAAGTCAGGATCCAAATAGTAAACCCCCTCAGAGCCTGAATTTTCAGGAACAATACCCTTCACATGAAAAAAAAAAAGGCGGCTCCTTGTACTTTGACAGAGCTCAGGAGAAAAACGTAAGGAGTATTTGAAGGATCTTTTAGAACTTTATGTACATGGTTACAAGTTCTGAAGTATCTTCTGAAAAATGGCAACCACTGCCTTCACTTGTGAAGTATGACATGCAGCTTGGGCAACTGTGTGTGAGAGGAACAAGATGCAGTGGAAAAAAGGCAGAGAAGAGGACTAGGAGAGTTCTTGCTGGAATTAGCTAAGATATGGTTTCCTTAGAAGAGTAAACTTGAGTACACAGATCAGCAAAGAGTGATAGAAACTGCTTAACCCCAAAGACAAGTGGATATTGTTAAAATATCATGAATAAGTTAAGTTGACAAAGTCTAAAGTTAGACACTGCCACTCTGTTGGAACAGCTTTTAATACAGCAGATGAAGCCAACAGCCAAGGTTCAGAGGGAAGGTACTCCATGACTGCAGGACACACTCTCTCATCCCAAGGACAGTGCCAGCCATGTCCCAGCATCATCAAGAAGCTTCTCCACAGCCAAATGCTGCATTAGGTAGGGACACAGCAGCTAACCATGCAGAGCACTGGAAACAGCACTGTGCTGTCCTAGGCAGACATATGACATTGCCTTTTCAATCCCTCCACACTGAAGACCAGGTTGGACATCAGGAAGAATTTCTTTATGGAAAGGGTTGTCAGGCATTGGAACGGATTGTCCAGGGAGGTGGAGTCACCATCCCCAAAAGTGTTTAAGAAACAACTAGATGTGGCACTTTGCACTCTGGTCTAGCTGACAAGGTGGTGTTTGGTCAAAGGTTGGACTCAGTGATCTTGGAGGCATTTTGCAGCCTGAACTGTTCAGATACACAATAGTTCACAGTGGGCTGTAAATGCACATGAAACTCCGAATTCTGACAGCTGCCTGTTGAGAGTCAGACTGATTAATCAGGAGCATTCCATGTTCAAGAGCTACCTGGTTCAGATCTCCTTTACCATGCCCCTTTTCAGAGCTATTGACAGTTCCCAGCACCATATAACTGGTAGAGCACCTCTTGCTTTTATCAAAGCTCTAAGTACCCTCCACATCCAGCAGCCCACCTGACACCTCAACTGTGTGAACAGCTCACCCCCAGCAATGAGTTTGAAGCAAGTCTAGATGCCCCATCCTTGAAAGTGTCTAAGGCAGGTTTGGACAGGGGCTTGGAGCAACCCAGTCTAGTGGAAGGTGTTCCTATCCATAGCAGGGGAGTTTGAACAAGATGGCCTTTAAGTTCCCTTCCAACTTAAACCATTCTGTGATTCTTTTCTGTCCAGGGAGGTTGGAGGCACACAAGAGAACCAAACCTTGAGTGTGCCTTGGCAGATACAGACCCATGAAAAGCCCAAGCAATAGTGCTGTGATCCAAGCTGTGATGGGTGGGAGGATCCATCACCCTTGGCAGCAGGCTAGTTTAGTTTAACTCCTGGTTTAGGATTACACAGATAACACTACCTTCAAGGTTGTCATTGAGAATATACTAACCAATCTGCTTAGCCTCACTTCATCCCTGAATCACATCCCATGTATAAGCAGTGACAGGAGCTACCTGAGTACCAACTGAAGGGAGCCAAAGCCTATTGTGCTCCAGCCACCAGATTTCAACTAAAAACTGCCAGGATCTTGCAAAAAGAGGGAACATGGCAGGTGAACTGCCCCTTTGCAAAGTTATACCTTCCAAATGCTGCCATGCTGAGGGTGTGCAGCCCCCTCTGCCAACAGCACTACCATGGAGATATTACAGCAGAGGAATCTAGTCCAAAAGGAATGTGGTTTCTTTCCAAAGAGCCACTTTTCAAAGCATTTGGGGAGGCTTACAAAGTGGTCCTGGGTAGGCAAGTTGAACTAGACTATATCTCTTTGGACCCTAGCAGCCCTACAGAGAAAGCTATAGTATTTAGCTTGTTAGAGTCATAGAAATTCTAGACACAGAAACAAAATATATATGCAATTATCCCAGACAAGTAAGCCTCATCCTCTGCTGTGTCCTATCCCCATATCCTATAAATCCCTTTATGGGATTTCTCTGACTAGGAAGGGCAAGTAGAACCAGTCTCACCACAGAGTCAAGGTAGGAGAATGTTTGTTACCCAGCTCATCTCTCTAGAGTCCACTGCAGAGAAGGATAAGCTCATCTAGACACATTTTCAAAGCATCTCATTTTGTCTGTGCAATTTGATTTTTAAAGCAGTTTTGCATCCAAGCCAGGCAGGTGAATATACTGATGCAATTAACCACAGGCAGTTTGGCACAGATGGTCCCCAAGAAACAGAGGGAGCTCAGCAGCAGGGGTTTGTATTTAATGATGAGGCAGGCCCTCAGTGAGGCAAGTCAGCAAGGCCCCACTGAAGGCAGCAGAGATCAGAAGAGCTCACTCAGCTCCTTGTACTTCTTCCACTGGTAAGCAATTCACAGCCTCCTCCCAAAGGCCAAGATCCATCATTAGGGACCCAAGTACTTGCCCGCAGCTGCAGTGACATCTGGCCATGTATCCCCCAACAGCCTGAACACCCTAGAGGCTAGAGCTCAATAGAAAAGTACTCCCAAACATCTTGGATCTGAAAGCATCTAGACATCAAGAGTCACCACTAGGAACTAACTGTGGGAACCAAGTTTCCAAAGGCCATTCCACCATGAGGATGTGGTACCCCTAACTGCCATTAAACGGAAAAGGATGTTAGAACAGAGTTGCAGCTCAAAAATCTTCCTATGTGCTTAACTGGGGCAGGAGGATCCCCAGGCAGGAAGCATTTCCCCAGCTGGTAATTGTAATTGCATCATTTTCCAAGATGTGGGTTGGTGATCCCCAACACTAGGGAAAACTCTGGCTCACTGCACAAAGGTCTAGGTTGAGCGGAAGAAATTTAGACCACAAAAAGCTGTGCCAGTTGTCAAATCCACACAGCACAGAGAGCACCACGTCCCTTGGATGACAAGCACCTGCAGAGCCATACCCCAGAGCCAAGAAAACCACAGCCCTCCAGTTGAGTCATCATCACTTAGGATAGCTAGTTCCAGATACAGCCCACATTTGCCTGTAGAGGAGCCCAGAGCATACTCAA